ATTCTGAGAAATGATGGAAAAAATGATCAAAGGCTGAGTAAGAATTTGTTAGAAGCAAACTTATAATGACTTATATCTGAAGATTACTATGGAAATTATTCTTGTAATTTTCTTTTTCTTTTATCTTTTTGATTCGAATATGTATTGTACTTTTAGTTTGTAACTCATAAATCATTTATAACTTGCAGTGGTCGTTAATCTGCTACCTTTAGGGTATAAATGTTCTCATTCCTTCTTTCTTTGTTGCATTTTTTATGAAGGTGGATAGCAGCAGATGCTTGAGTAATCGATACTGGGTAAAGGTAATGTCACCTAACTTGCTGAAGTTTCTTTAAATGATTAATCCTATTTGTCTTAACAAGCATAAGCTATTAGAAGGATGAAAATGTATTAATCTCATAGGTCCTAATTTCAAGTGGCTTGCTTCTCTTTTCTAGTAATATGATTATTAGATGCATCTTTATCTCAGCGTTCTTAAAAATGCCACAGCCCCTGTTTTTCATTGTTGGAATTTTGTATGAGCAGTGCACATCTGGGAATTCTTTGCAAACATATTTTACAGATTAGATTGCAGTATTTATGACAATGCTTAATGCAATTTTTTGTGGCTGATATTTTTGAAAAAATATTATATTTGCGTTCGGAGTCCAGAGAGAGTGTGTCACGTGTCAAGTGGTTCCCACCCCTCTAAAACTCACTCATCAAATCAGTATATTGCGGTGGGGCCCACTTACCACGTGTCAATTTTCCACTGAACCCCGGACGCAAATTTGCTTCCGGAGTCCGGATGTGATATGTTCTCATTCTCAATCCTGATTCTTCCCGTCTGTGAATGAGAGAAAACGAGAGGTTAAATTCTTGGTTTTGATTCCCTGAAAGCATCGCGTCTTCTTCAAATGGCATAGAAAATTTAATTTTAATTTAATAATTTTTTTAATTGGTTACTACAGGACGTGCATGAGCTATCAAGCGAATTGTATATGTGGAGCTTGAAATTTTATTTCTTTATGTAATACGTGTGTATTTCAGTTTTAATTAAACAAAAAATACCAATTAGTCTATGGAGAAAATATTAGATTCGGTCTCCGGACGGGTGGGGGGGAGTGTGGGGTGGGGGGATCATGTGTTACTCATGCCAGAGGCTCGACGTTCCTTGCGGGAACATGGCGTCAAGGGTGTCGTGTCTGTAGGAGAAAGAGGAGCGTCGGAGAAGACGTGTCCACAACACGGCGTGCAGGATGGGCAGCGAAGCGCTGCTTGCGGGAGGCTCGACGTTCCTTGCGGGAAGATGGCGTCGAGGGTGTCGTGTGTGTAGGAGAAAGAGGAGCATCGGAGAAGACGTGTCAACAACACGGCGTGCGGGGTGGGCAGTGAAGCGCTGCTTGCGAAATAAGCAGTGAAGCGCTGCTTGCGAGAGGAAGAAACTGCGCACGAAAGAGGGAGAATCGAGCTGCGCTCACGCGTCCTGTGCAAAGGTGGAGAGGTAAAAGTTTTCTGCGTGTGCCTAGGCCTAGAGGGAGACGTCTCACGTGAAGGAAGAAGCAAGCTGAGTGTCTCGTGTAGGAGTAACACCGTTTAACTTCGCGTGAAGAAGTAAGAGAACCGTGCTAGGGAAGAAGAAAGAATAGAGCCCTCGGGTTTGGGATCAAGTAAAAGAGCTGCGTGAGTTTTATTGTGCAAGAAGAAGACTTTGTGTGGGAGGAACTTCGTGTGGGTAAGGGCCAAAACCGAATGCTTTTACGAAGGTTAGGGTTTTATTATGTTATTTTTATTCTACATGTTTAATTGACTAGTATTAATTATTGTTTAGGAATTTAAAATCAGAATTTGAAAAATATGAGAGCACAAAAAATTTGGATTGGATCTAGGAAAGTTGACGACATGGAAGGTAATGATTTGATGTTGTAATTATAAAAGTTTTGTTTGGTTAGTTAAACGTTATTAAATTATAACATCTATTAAGACCAAAGTGCATTGGTCCTAAAAGATATAAAGATAAGGAGTTACTAGGATAATCAAGTAAAAATCAAGGTGAGTGATTATATTTTTAAATTTCAGTAATTTTTATTATTTTTTAATGTATGTTTGATTCCATTTATGCTCTAATTTAGTTAAATTTAATTTGCAATGAATTCTTCATGTTATTATACAAGAAAAATATGTATGATAATTAGTTGCACGTCAGAGAAAGTATACATGTTAACACTGCTGCATAAATTGTTGCATATTAGTTTTTCTAGAAAATTATCACATTATTGCATGACCTTTAGAAATATGCATGTTAAGAGACGTGCGTAAAACAATTGCATATTGATTCACTTATAAAATTATTATATTATTACATGTCATTTTGATTCCAATTAAAATATATTTATTCATTAGTAGATGAAGACAATTCTCTCATAAGAAAGAATGTATTTTATGAAGATTGAAATAGTGTATATATGAATACTTGTATCTATGTGTTAAGAGGAGTTCATCTCTTATGGTATAAGCAGTGGACGTCAATGTATCTCACACATAAATATTTTTCTATCACATTAGATAATTGTGATAATTAGATTTTTAATTATTGTGCCAACAGTAGAATATTGACTAGGGGCGAGTAGACACCTTTCCACCTTAGATAATAATATAATGTAAATCATTAACCGTTGTGTTAATCAGCTAATATCGGTCAGGAGTGTGTTAGATTATGCTTTGACGATAGTCCTAAATAGACACCTTTCCATCTCCAGTTGCTTGATGAGTCTAGTTGGTTTTTTTATTGAGCAGGATGTTGTGGAGAAAGTTAGCGACAAGGAAGCAACTGAAGAAAAGGGTGAGCATCAACTGCCACCAGAAGAGGGCGAGATACTTGTGGTTCAGCAAGTCCTTCAGACTAAGGCGTTGAAGGAGCAACAATGGCATTGACACAATCTATTCTACACTCTTTGCACCATGAATGGAAATATATGCATCATCATCATCAATGGAAGTAGCAGCAAGATTGTAGCGTTAGTACTGATGGTGGATAAGTTGAGACGACTCAGAGACATTCTCAACCACATACTCTCTGACATGGTTCAAAATGGAGAACATGATCAATATTAACAAGAGTTGTCTCGTGAAGTTTTGGATTGGAAGTCAAATGCAGGATCAAGTTTGGTGTGATGTGGTGCCCATGAATGCCTATAATCTTTTGCTGGGGAGATCATGGTAGTATGATCACAAAACTCAATATGATGGGTATAAGAGCACCTGCTCATTCACCAAAGATAGCACACACATAACCCTTCTACATTATGCAGAGTTTGAGATTAGAGATACCCTTGCCAATAGAGAGGTATCGAGAGGATCAATCTTGGTGATGATAGAGGACCACGAGAGAGAAGGTCCGATATCAAACATAGGACAATCAATACATGGAGAGTTTCAGGACATTATGTTCACCAACTTCCCACCCTAGCCGCCGCCACTTAGAGAGATTCATATTATCCTCATCTCAATTCGGGTTGAACCAACTTTGGTTGTATTTGGAGAATTCAACATAATGCACTTGGCACAGAATCTTGATTTAGCTTAGTAAGGTACCCTATAGATGATTGGATCGATATGGATGTTTGCTCGCAAGTGGAGAAAAACCCTCAGTTGCTTTGGGGAACAGTACAGTCGCCAGTGGGATCTAGGCGTTTCTCGGACCGTAGTTGTCGTGGAGATTACAACAACCCCAATACTTTCAACATGCTGATAAAAGCTTTGATGAATGAGGTCGAAGCTCTCTCAATCCCTAGAGACTATCGCGGGTGTATCTCTCTCACGAGACGTTGGATCCCACTAGAGATGTGGGACTGACTTCAGTGCATCCCCCACACAGGACATGGGACGCGATAAACCCAACTGCCGAACTGGGTGATGTTTCATGTTAACCGATTCATCCTAAGGGAGGAGAGGACTGCACAATCGCTCCTCCACAGGGTCGCCTAATTGAGGGGGCCCCACGCTAGCTACCATAGTAGTATTTATATATTATTTTTTGTGTTTTAGGGCATTTTTGCTTTCACCTTTCGTGCCGCCAATATTTTCTTCTTTGTTAGCGTTATATTCGAGGATAAGTGGCGCTCCAGTTGTATCTTATTCCAAGGTGGTGTTTATCTCATCGATTTCGCTTCCCTTTCCCCCTCTAGCCTGCTTATCGTCATCCCTCCTGCACTATTCAATGTTGCGCTGCTCCCCTTACACTGCTTCAAGGCGGCTGCCTCCTCTCCTGCACTCTCCCTTGTTGCTGCCTTCATTCCTACACTATTCAATGTTGTCGCCGCTCCCCCTACACTGCTCCAAGGCGGTCGCCTCCTCTATTGCACTCTCCCTTGTTGCTGCCTCCATTCCTACACTATTCACAATCACTCTCTCCCTGCGCCTTTTTCTTGTTGTGTCTGCCCTTCCGGTACCTCTCTAACCTGCAGCCACCTTTCCTAAGCCACCTTGTTGCTGTTCCACTGACTGTCTTGCCGCACGCCTAGCAGGTTATTCGTGTTCTTTCATATTTGTATTCGGTTTCAAGGTTTTGATCAGTCATGTTCTTTCGTGTAATAAAAATTTACTTTTCCTATTGAGTTTTTAGGTTAACTCCGGTATCAATTTATAACGTGATACAAAATTTTTGTGTTTATAGAGAAAATTTCAGCTTGATAGCTAAAAACCATGTATTCTTTGTGGGATTGTTTTCTTTGTAAATAATGCAACTTTACAATAGATTTCTTCATAGAATAATGCAACGCATGATTCTATCTATGTTTTATTTTCTCGAGCTATTTGGAAGCTTCATTGATACCAGCAACACTCACCTTTATTTGTTCTTTAACTCTTTTCTTCTTACAGGCAAATCTTTGGATTATTATTTTTAGCTATGTTGGGAACTACTTCTGGACTCACTATTTTTTCACGGTACTTGGAGCATCATATACTTTTCCGTCATGGAAAATGAACAATGTAAGAAGATTTACATCATTTGTTATTTGTCCTTCTTACATTATCTTTTCAAATGCAGCCATGCTTGCTTCATGAGCGAACTATAAAAGGGGAATTTGATAAACATCATCGCATTTGTTAGCTCTGTTGCCATTTTAATACTGATAACTGTGTGTTCTGCAATACTCGTTCAACTACAGATGAGGGAAGTAAAACAGAAGTTGAGGAGGCTTTAAAGAAAACCATGAGTGAAAAGTCTGTAGAACCTTATGATATCTCAATTGAGTGTGGCAATATATAGGAGATTTGGGAGTTTCTTGATTTACGAAAATCTTTAATATTATTTTAAAAACTAAAAAGATGTCTGAGGAGTGAAGGAAGAGTATTTTGGTCCCCATTTTTAAAGAATAAAGGTGATGCACAAGAGTGTGCAAATTATAGAGTAATTAAGTTGATGTGTCATACTATAAAATTATGGGAGAGGGTAATTGAACATACGTTAAGATGTATTACAAAGATTTCTCATAATCAATTTTGATTTATGTCGGGCAAGTTTTGATGGAGAAGTTCAGAGATAATAAGGAGGATTTATATTTGATTTTTATTGATTTAGAAAAGCTTACGATAAGATTCCAAGAGATATCCTTTGGAGAGTTCTTGAGAAGAAGGGTGTTGATATGACTTATATTTAAGAGCTTAAAGATATGTATACTAGAGCTGTTATTTATGTTTGAACAAAAGAAGGATTGACCAAATATTTTCCTTTTTCTATTGGATTACAACAGGGATCGACTTTAAGCCCATATCTTTTTGCTTTAGTTATGGATGCTATTACTGGGCATTTACAGGAGGATGTACCTTGATATATGCTTTCTGCTGATGATATCCTTCTCGTGGTCAAGACGAGAGAGAAAGCTTAGGAAATACTTGAATTATGGAGGTCTATATTGGATTCTAAAGGCCTTCGTTTGAGTAGAACTAAAATTGAATACATTAAATGTAATTTTAGTAGTAGTAGCTTTAGTGATTGAATTGTAATTATGGGTGATCAAATTATTAAAAGGTGTGGAACGCTTTAGATATCTCGGGTCTATTGTTCAAAGTGATGGTGATATAGATGGGGATATTAGTAGAAGTCAAGTTGGTTGATTGAAGTGGAGGATTGCTTCGGGCCTATTGTGTGATAGAAAAGTACCACTTAGGCCCCCTTTGGGGTGGCGGTAGGGTAGCAGCGCGGCGGGCGCCTCAAGATTTTACTGTTTGGGGCGGCAGAGCATCAGCAACGCCGCACGTTTAGGGTAAAATGCAAGTCGCGAGCTGCGATCTGCTCCTCTTCCTCTTCTCCCATATTGGTTCCTCTTCCTCCTTTTCTCCCTCATTTCTCATGCTACCCGGTTCTTCTTCCTCCTTTGTTCCTCAGCAGTAAGCACTTTTTCTTCTACAGATGCGAATGTTTGTTCGTTGGATTTGTGATGTTTGATTTGTAAATGTTGTTCGGTGGTATGGATGTGAATGCTAGATGTTAGATTGAATTCTTAGTGGCTCGATTTTTGGTTTGGTAAATTGCATGAATTTTTTTTTTTTTTTTGAGGAGGTGGCCTGGGTATGACAACAATATGATGTTAGATATGTTTGAGTGAGGGTTTATATTGTATGTGGCATGGTCATTGATGTGACTACGAATCATTTGGGTGGTTTGCATGAAGATCTAACAAAAAAAAGAAAAAGAAATTTATTATGGGTGTGGCTTAGACATTAATGTTAGATTGTTCTTATTGTTCTTTGGAGTTTTTGGTGGTTGTGGCTTTGGTGGTTGTGGCTTGGGCATTGATGTGAATACATATTAATTGGGTGGTTGAGACTTGGGGTTATGAGTGAATACAAATCAATATTGTCATAATACTAATTATAATTTTGATAATTTTTTTCTTTTTTATTCATAGCCCTTTTATTGTTGTTGTTCCTCTTTCAACTTTATCTAATTGGGCAACTGTATTTAAAAATTGGCTTCCTGAAATGAATATAGTTGTAAACATTGGAAATTGTGCTAGCAGAGTGGATGTATCAAATATGTGGCTAGAACCATTCTATTACAAACAACATTACTACACAAGGGCATAATGATCATTTGTCTAGAAACAACTGTCACAGTTTTTTTCATATCGCAGAAAATAAACAGCTAGGAAAATATGTGGCTAGAACCGTTCTATTACAAACAACGCTACTACACAAGGGCATAATAGTCATTTGTCTAGAAACAGTTGTCTTACAGTTGTTTTCATATTGCAGAAAATAGACAGCTAGCCAACTCCCCGCTGGGGAAGCTTATTGATAAGCTGCAGCTGCCCCAAGCAGACCCTTAGATTGAAAGAAAAATTTTATAAGATGTTGGTGAGACTTGTAAAAAGAGAAGCATAAAAGTAATTGTTGCCAAGATGAGAATGATTAGGTGGATGAGTGGCTTTACATTTAGAGACAAGCGAAATGAATATATCCGTGATAGGGTTGGTGTAGCTCCAGTGACGGAAAAAATTAGATAGTCGTCTTAGATGGTTTGGTCATATTAAACGTCGACTATTTGATGATCCGATTAGGAGAGTGGATGTTTTAGATTCAACTAATGTTAAGAAAGACAGTGGTAGACCTAAAAAGACTTGGGCATATTGTATAAAACATTATCTTAATCTATTAGAATTATATGAAAATATGACACTCGATAGGACACAATGGAGAAAAATGGTTCATGTAGCAGTCCTACTAAAGAAGCATAAAGGTTTTTTGTTATTGTTGTTGTTGATGCATGAACAATAGTTTCAGTCATAGTACGCAAGTAACTGGGATTGTCATGATGAATTTATCCCATTCAGAACTACTCTAATAATAATGAAAATTTGATAAGATAATTTTGTACTTAAAATTGTAAAAATAATGCTACAAAAGGAAGCCTTTCAACCTCTTTGTAGAATTAACTTGTAAGGCATGCATTCTAAAGTTCTCTTTGTCGCTAATGAGTGAGTTGCTCTTATGTTATGAATGATCGGCAGGGTTTAGCAAACAAGTTAAATGTGAATATTTGACTTGCTAAATCAGTTGCTAAATTTATGGCTTTTCTAGTACGAAATTTACTGATTCCATCATATTTTACGAGATAATGCTGAGTATTTTCCTAGCCTTATTGCATTTTAATATTTATTCTTGCTGCTTACTTTCAGGGACTGGTATAATTTGGAAAAGTCCAAGCGTATTAAAGCATTTCGCTGTGGGGAGTATGATGACTGTATTGAGAAGGCCAAAGCTTCTGCTATTCGCCCGAGCAGGAGAACAACCAATTCAATGAAGTATGCTAGCAGAGTAGATGCTATTCTTCATGCTCTTGAGCTTGAAAAGTGCTATCTAACCAATGGAAATGAGAAGCTTAGTTCAAGTAAGAATAACAGCAAGATCAGTCTCATCACCGAAGATTTGCTTAAGCAGCAAAAAATGATGCAGAAGAATAGGAGGAAACTTGTTTTAGTAGCAAGGAAGTCTGGCAAACCTAAAGAAATCTGTACTCATGAATTCTCTCATTCTGTTGCAACGATTGAACTACCCGAGCAACCATTAGGGAGAACCTCACAGAAAAAGAGATGGAAAAATCCTAATGATTGAAAATTTTATTTGGCTCGCTGAATTTGAATGGTTGACTTTACTAATTTTGTTAGCTCCCTAGAATGTGCTTTCGGTGGTATCAGAAGTAGTTAAGGTATTATGACATTAATCTGGCAGTTTGATTATGGCTGGTTAGGCCCTTTCAATTAATATTCTCATTATTAGTGTAGCTATCATTTCAAAATTATCGAGCAATGAAATATAAGATGAAACAATTATGTTGAAGCACTATACTGAACTTGTTAACAGATATTATGCCTACATATTTACTTCTTTGTAAAAAATGTAACGCAGCTTTTAATTTTTAGTAAATATGCCGTATGCACCATACAGGTTAAGCTGCTAGTTATATCTGCTCATGATATTCTTGAAATCTCAATGTAAATCAGGAATACTTGCCTAATTAAAATTTATGGATTCGATTGACTTTCATGATAATTAGTGACTCAATTATCTTTGGAACATAGGATTAGCTGGCGGTCTAGAAATTTCTTTTTCCATTCAGAAAAAAACTCTTAGCATTTTGTATGGAGCTTTTCTACTCTTTGTAAGTGTATTATAGCCTGGTGGGGGTGCAGACGAGCCGAACACGAGTGAGCCTGGGCTCAACTCGTGTTCGGCCCGTTAAAAAATTCTATTGTTCGTGTTCGGCTTGTTTTTATTTCGAACACAAAAAATTTGTTCGTGCAAACGAGCCGAACACGAGCTGTTCAAGAATTTGACAACCTTAGTCACGCATGCAACTGTTAGTGGTGTAAACAAGCCGAGCTTAAGCGAGCCCAGGCTTGACTTGTTAAAAAAATATTATTTTTCATGTTCGGCTTGTTTATATATCAAGCTCAATAAATTTGTTTGTGTTTGACTTGTTTGCTAATCAAATTTGATTTCAATTATTTAGCCTTGCATCAAATTAGCAAAAAATGTGACGGTGTAAAAGTATCAATTTGGGATGAATATGGGCTTAATTATTAGTGTATTTAACCCAACTTGGCATTCCTTTGGTTTCACTCTCTAGCATAATATATCTTGAAGATAAAAGTGGTGGGCAGTGCTGATTTTAAGTTATATATATATATATATATTATATAAATGGCATTTGCATCTAGTCAAACTCAAGATCAACTCAAAATTGATTTCAATTCTTGAGTCAAATTTGAGCTTATTTCTCTTTTAATGCGAGTTTCATGCTTTTTAACAAGTGTTCGTGGTGAGAAATAAACTTACATGGCTTGGACATGCTCAAATGAGTGTAAAATACACGCTCAAGACATGTAGAGAGGTTTTCTCAGTCATTATGAGGAAAAGTGGTTAGATTAATGGTAATGTTGGATACAAGTTGTTCAAAAAAGATTTGCATTGAATATGTTCAACACCTCAAATTACACTTGATAGGAATTCATGGAATTTGAGGATTCATAAAGCTGACCCCAAATTGTTGGGATGAGGATAATTCTGCTGATGTTAACAGAGTAGGCGTTATTCAAACTGAAAGGATAGTAAATTTCTTAAACCTTTTTTCTGTTTTTTTTCCGTTGTACATGGCTATAAGTTTGAATTGATCAGAATTACCATTTCTTTTTACTTGCTTTCAAAAGCTTTTATAAGACGCCCGTTGCTCTTAATGTTGCAGTTTCCTTATTATGACTTCGTTGATCGGGCGTCAATGTACAAAGTTGGTTCGTTGTTTTATGCTATTTATTTTGTGGTGAGCTTTCCCATGTTTTCAAGGTATGTAATTCTTTGAATTTATGGATGCCATTATTTTGGTTATTGGTATTATCTAATAATTTAAGGAATTCGCAGTGCATATAAAGTGTTGTTTTAGAATGTCATTTTTTTATGTTTTGTCTACCTAGTTTGGATGGAAGATTTTAGGTTTTATATCCATCAAGTGTTAAACTCTAAAAGGCAATATTTATGAGTGGGGCTAGGTGGCTAAAATGGGTTGGGGGTGGTTGGGACAGCAAAATCAAGCTCTGGTATGAGTTTGTCTTGTTTGTTGTAATTTCTCTTTTAAGTGTGTTTGATTGTAACTGTGTGTTTGCTTCCAGTAATATTATTTGATTTCTTATTGTTGTTGGGTTAATTCCAGTATTATTTGGTATTTTAGAGTTAACCTAACCCGAGTCCTATCCTAGGGTTTCTAGCATCCACTAATGTCCAACCCTTTCTCTACCTAAAATTTTTCTTTCTCATTTTACATCACCCTTACACACCACCTTCCACCTACCCACACACAAAACCTAGTGATGTTGCCGAGGAGATAATCGCCAAATGCCTAATCAAGGGGAAATGACATGATGTCATTTATGAGAAATTCATGAAAAGGTGTCCAAGGGATTTTTATTGAGAATGTAGAGTGGGAAACCCGCCAATTACAATAGAGGCTTACTACCTTCAAGAGGAGGCAATTCGAATGGGTCACCCATAGCCGCAGTTGTAACTTGTTAGATCAAAGAAATGGAGTAAATCTCTTTCACCATGCAGATTCCAGTGATGAAGCACCTCTATCTTGATGATATGAATGAAATATCTGAGAAGTCAAAATTTTGCTGATTTTCCATATTTCAACGGTCACATGAATCCGAACGAGTTCATCGAGTGACTCTAAACCTTAGAATGTGCATTTGACTGTTAGGAGGTCCCATCAAACAAATGATGAAACTAGCCTCCAGCAAGCTAAATAAAAGTGCATTATTTTTTAGGCAAAATTAGGAGTACCTAGGTCAACATGAGAAAAAAGACAAGATCACTACTTGGTTCGAGATGAAATGAGAGATGAAGCGCCACTACCTACCAATTCACGAAAGACCGGATGTTCATACCGCAGCTTCAAGAGTGAAGAAACTACATCACCAGACAACTATCGATTCTCACAATTAGGATTCGACCCTAATATCTTACAACCAGTGTATACCCATGGAAAAATTTAAGTCGACCTCGCCTGACAAGACACTACTTTTGAGTGGAAAGTAGGTAGAGAAAACCAACATTCTCAAATTTGTCCCCGCCAAGAAGTGTTTCAAGCGCCACAAATTTGGACATATTGAATCAGATTGCACAAGGAAAACAATCTCCTCGACTGATCATGAAGTAATTGAAAAACTGGACAATGACATGGTAGACACGACAGAGAGTGAGGATACAAAAGAGGCGTACCGACTGTCAGCCAACGAGAAAGAGAGCCATCGATTTCAACTGAACCCAGAAGAGATATTTCAACTGAGTTGACAATAACAGTTCTAGAAGGTAGTGAATCTAATGTTATGGGCATTCATACAAAGTATGAGGATATGGTGCGTTGAATTGCATTTTTGCAGGCATTTGGAGTAGCATTAGTAGGATTGTCATTTGAGAAGTCGGTATTGAACACAGAGCAACATTATATAAGAAGATTTCAAACTATTCAAATATATTGCCTATCTTTTGAGTTGACTTTATTGAGGGAGGTCCAACTCCTCAAAGATGAGAAGATTTTGAGTAACTTTTGAAAGATTATATGGAGTTATTTTAATATTAGATTCAGCTCAACAGTGTACCCAACATCAGATGTCTAGGCATGAGGGATGAATCAAAGCTTTGAAAATTATCTTAGGAGCTTGATAGGGAAGAATATTCTTCAATGGGATCTGTGTTCTGTCAGTGAAGAAGAAGAGGTTTTTCCTGAGTGGTTACTAGTAAGAGTGGCACAGTTCGACACAAATTTCATTCCAAAGCTGATTTCTCCTCATATATTTGATTATCAGGTACATTCTACTGACTACAAGATGTGGAAGAAGGTTTCAGACTTAAGAATTTGAGAGTTGCATTGTAGGAACCTACATCTATATGCAACTCCAGCTCAAGATGTGTGAAAAGATGATGCATATTTATTCTATCAAGGCGTGTTATGAAATGTTAATGCCTACAAGATTGATTTGTCAGGAGATTATGCTACTCCTTAGTTATCCTAGTATTATATATATTATTTCTTCGCGTGTTTCTTCGCGTTTTAAGTTAGTATCTCGTGTGTTTTGTTTAGGACAACCATCGACGTCCGTTCTTCTCCCTTCAAGGTTGTGTCCAAGGGATTGAGTGGTGTTCTAGTGGTATCTCTCTCCCGAGGTGGTGATTATTTTCTCTTTCTCCTTCCACATCTTTCTCCCGACCATCCTCCATCATTGTGGCCACCCTGAACAACACTCATTTGTTGTTTTCACCACAATCTTCACATTGTAGCTCTTTATTGTGCATTGCTACCATCCTGGACAACCGACCCTTTATGTCATGCAATCCCTCGCTTCGCCCCTTCACCGCTGTCAATCAGAAAACAACAAACCTGTTGTTTTCCTACTGTTTCTTGGCAGTTCCAGCCTTTACCACTGTGCCTCGCTGCTCTGCTTGCCACCCCACTTGCTGCCCTCGCGCTGTCTCAGCCCTCCGCTTCGCTTCCAATGCAATTACAACCCCTCCTTTTGTTATTCTAACCACCACAACCCATTTTTGTTACCTACCTCCGCTCACTGACCGCTTAACCGACCTCCACCACCCATGGATCGAGGCCTAGTTTGAGTTTGTGTCGTGTTTGTTGTTATTTCTCTTTCAAGCGTGTTTGATTGTAAACGTCTGTTTGGTTTCGGTAATAATATTTATTTTATCTATTAGGGGTTAACTCGGATATCAAAAACCTTAAAATGTTTTTTAGAAAATAAAAGTCAGGTCTAGGATTTATAAATTATAAATAAAAAGTAAAGTAAAAACTTTTCTATGAGCTTAAAGAGGGAAAAGAAGAACAACACCAACCTTCACTGTTGAACAGCCAGCGTCTTATGCTTATCTTGTTCTCATACGCTCTAATCGCGTGCTTGCTGATCCCTCTGCAATTGTTCAATTTCTCTTTCTCTTTCATCTCCTCACAAAAGGGTAGTTGACCCCCCTTTTTGTCGCTTCATTCATATTGCTACATTATTTATTTCTTTTTTATTTAAATATTATTTATGTTTGCTATACTATCTTATTCAAATATTTTTTTTTGGAAAATAAATCTCTCTTAAATTCATATTATTTAAATTAATAGAATAATAAATTTTGATTAAATTTACCCATACAATTTATTTTACAAAATTTTAATTAACTAAATATTAATATTATTATTTTAATTAAATAAATAGAATTTTGAGTTTTTAGGCTACATTGAATTGTGAGGGAAACGATTCGTTAACTCATCCATCGATTGTGGGTGTTTGTACTCTGATTTGTTCTCACCATCTAATGTTATCGACTGAAGATCATCGATCCTAGCATACATAACTAACCCTCTGCTGTGAGAGTCTTTTGTGTCTTTGAACACCTATTGCCAATATAAGCCTACATTTGACTTATATATCCACCTCTCTGCAGGCTGCTCTCCTCACTGAAGTGGATGCCTTGTTGCTAGAGTAAACCCCGTGTGCATCTGCCCATTTTCCGGTCGTGTTGGTACTCCTTATGTGAGCTATGTACTAAGTGATCTACCTTTCAATTTCTTCATCCACATTGATGCTAATGCGACCGACCACTCCTGTTGGTTGGCCTTTGTGTTCTAGCCGTCGATCTTACAGCCACTCTATTACATATCTCGCCATGCAAATACCTATGATTGCCAAGTTTATTACCGGTAACAAGCTCACAATCCCACCCCTAGTCGCCCGTGTGCTCTTTGTCATCAGCTTTTTACTTGTAGGCCACTTCCTTGCCAGTCCTATGCCACCTTTCACACAGTAGGCCCGAAGCATTCCTCCATTTCAACCAACTAACTTGAATTATACTAATAACACCCCCAACTAAACCACCATCCCTCTGAACAATAGACCCAAGGTAGCTAAAGCGTTCACATCTTTTAATGATTTGATCACCCACAGTTACAAATCTTCCACTAAAGCTGCTACTACTAAAATTACATTTTATGTATTCAGTTTTAGTTCTACTCAAATGAGGGCCTTTAGATTCCAATGTAGACCCCCACAATTCAAGTTTTTCCTGAACTCTTTCTCTAGTCTTATCCAGAAGAAGGACATCATCAGTCAAAAGCATACACTAAGGTACGTCCTCCAGTAAATGTCCAGTAAGCGCTTGCATAACTAAAGAAAAAAGATATAGGCTTAAAGTCGATCCCTGATGTAGGCTCTGTTTGGCGCAGCTGCAGCTGCGTTGCCCCAGGAAGCTGCTGCGGGGAAGCTGTTATGGGGAAGCTGGGCACCTGTTTGTTGCAGCTGTGTGAGAACAGCTGAAGTTGTCGGGCAGCTGTTATGGAAAAAAGACCATATTGCCCCTGTTTGGTAAAATTTTTTAAAAGAAAAGTATAACAATCATATTTTTGACATTTTCAATAAGCTCTCAAAGTGCTAACAACTTTTGTATAGGAATAAAAACACATATGGAACACAATTTTATGTATTTACATATCTAACACATAAATGTTGAAGTTTTACGAATATTTTCATATTGTTTAGAATATCCTACGAAAGAATTGGGTTGCCGAAATATAATGAAGTTAATTTAAGGGTTAGATATGTAAATAGGCGAAATTAATTATGGTTAAGGAAACAAATTGAAGTGTTAGATATGCATATATATAAAGGTTATCAATTATTATATAGAATAATTTTATGTACTAAATAGTGTCGTAATAAATACAAATTGAAGAAATATTCTAAAATTATATTTTAGTCTACAAAATGGATATCTTAAAAACAATCAACCGTACATAAATACAAATTATATGTAATAACTTCTTACAACGCAGAAGTTCTAATTAGAAGAGTAGCTAAGTACGTATACTCATCTCAGGTCACAGTGAGTATCATTAGAGCAAAAAAAAAACTCTAAAACAATTACAATAATAATCAACAAGATGATTACATTGTTCTAAACATTCACACGGCGTAGTTCATGTGTCAAACTTCCCTCAAGTGATGTTCTTCATTCCCGATCAACATCGTCAGGTGAATCCACCGAACCATCTGCCCATTAATTTTCTTAGGAGAGTGAAGCATCACTGATGTATTTACACAGGCCATCTAAGTTTGGGTCCCCATTTTTTTGGGGCATTAGTACCCTGATGATTCACAAAAAAAAAAAAAAAAAAAGCCATTAAACTAATTTGGGAAGCTTTCAGAGACATTTGAAAGGTCAAAAAGATGTCGAATCCGATAAGTTTTTAGTTGAATCGAGCGTCTCGACAAGAAGAATTTAATAAGCTCAAGATCGCTCAATTTTGACATCGTTAAGACACTCAAATGTTCATCAAACGTTTTTAGATCAAATGAATCTCTCTCGATTGTCCGATTAAAATAATTCATATTCATTCACTAATAGCACCCATAACTCCATAAATAGAGCCACATCCCTCTTAATGGGTGGGGTTGGGGGGGGGGGGGGGGGGTGTTTAGGGGGGA